CACCAACAATAGTAACACAAGAGCAGCAGCATTGGGGCAGAAACTACGATGGTAAGAACCGTCAAAAACAACACAAGAACTGATACGCACAACTGCAATACAACAAACGATCTAAGTTCCACTAACTCTGTATTCTGACCACACTGCATTTTTGTATAAGTGTTTTCATTTGTGAATATTTTGGCATAGCTTCTGCTGTAAATCCAGAGAATTCCACAATTTTACCCCACATACAGTTACACAAAAACTTTTGCGAGTCGTCTGAGCTTTTGGTAGAATAAAGTTTCCATTTCCTCTCAAATTATATGCTTTCTCTTTAAGAGAGAAGAATTGTTGTACATTTTTAGGAAGTTTATTATTGAATGCTTTAAATAGTAGGATTACTGTGTAGTATTTTACAAGTTCGTGGAATTTCAGTAATTTGGAACAAATAAAAAGATCATGCGTGTGTTCCAAAAAGCTGACCTTATGAATGATACGAACAGCCCCTTTTTGCAGTAAAAACAATGGATTTGTGGCACATTTGTAGTTATTACCCCATATTTCCACACAGTTTGATAAATAGGTGAGAACCAGTGAACAATATAAAATACGGAGTGCATTATGGTCAATATATTGCTTAGCTTTGTTCATAATCGAGAGGCTCTTGGATATTTTTGTTTTGATGTGCCTGATGTGGGCTTTCCAAGATAATTTGCTGTCCATAGTTACATCTATTTCACTGCTCAAGGCAAACATCAACAAAAAAAATGTATTCTCAGCTACATTTTCAATCAGAAGAGGCCCGTTCCCGACTCCAGGAATCGCAACCAAGCAATCTTGCCGAGAATTTGAGAGTACGAATCCACCAAGACCACCGTTTCGTGTAATTTATATTAATGGTATGTTAGTGGTATTTTATTGCGCCTCAACTGCCCAACGATTTTTTTCCACGTTGTGGTAATAACGGTTTTTGGAGGGGGGAGTTATTGTAGTTGGGATTAGGATATTTAAAAATGAAGGAAAATTAGTTACGTAATCAGAACATCAAAACAAGGCTGCAATGATTTGGTTAATTGCCCTAAAATGGGACTAAAACTAAAAAATAGATCATCAACATGGGTTCTTATTCTCACATCTAGGGTCAAAAATAGCAAAAAACTTAATGTTTTTTCTAAGTCGTGCTTAACTTCTTCTCCACTGAAAAAAACAAAACACAACCGTAGCTTGTACTACAAGAAGTGAACATTATGGTCATCTGGGAGAAAAGTTCAGCCATAAAGACGACATGATAAATATTATGATTTAATATCGGCTTGATTCTAGTATTTCCAGAGGGACCCTCAGATGTCGCTTGGACTTATAGAAAAGATTAAAAAAAAATAAACACAGTACTCACTTTCTGGCTGTAAGCTACGCACTTTGGGTGCTTGTTGACCGTGATTCCCTCCGTGGCGATCTGTTGAAGATAAAATGAAAGTGAATTCTTACAGAAAAGTTTTTCCATTTTTAAAGTCATACCAAGATTCAAAGTAAAGAACACATCAAAAGGACATTCATGAACTCCAGCAATTATTTCATTTTTACACTTTATGAGTTTTATCCTTAGATTCCCATTGGCCAATATATCCTTGCATTTCATCAACATAAACGAAGCAAAAACCGAAAATAAGTAGTTAGAAATCACAGACTAAATGTATAATTAGTTTTTTAAACTTGTACAACAATAAATAATGTATGATCAAATTCAAGTATAGAAAATAAATCTGATTTAGTGAATATCTTCAAAAGTCCATATTGAATGGACCGTCAAACATGTCTGGCTCAGGAGTGCGCATAGTTTCAGAATTCCGGGGAGGCTGAATATGGGTGGATTTAAGAGCTCGAAATGCTGTGTCCAAACATTAGATTGGCAATAACTTCATCGAATGAAACTGACCCTGTAAGTTTGCGTTTCGGTCACTGAGGAAGTGTGCCTTCAATTATAAAAGACACTTTCTCTGAATTATCTCCGATAAAAATAAACACAAACAGAACCGATGAGAGGAAGCGAGACGGCGCCAGACCAAACAGAAAGTCTTATTAGCCTTTTTGGGTAGAATGGTTAAACCAATGGCATCAGTTGTGCTATGGATTGACCTAATTTATTCAAGAGGCTCTTGAACAATAGTGGAAGCCTAACTCCAAGTTGGTAACAGTCAGAAAAACAAACACAAAGTCAACAACTAACCTCGTTTCATCTGAACACACTTTTACAGCCAAGATAATATAAAACTGAATACTAAACCCGCTAGATGTTTCATTTTCTCCTTTTAGAAATCATGCATTCACAAAAGTCCCTGTGAATGTCACATGCGACTTAGTGCACACTTACAACTTAATACTATAGACTAATTACGGAATTACTGATAGTGCGTAATGCTCTAAGGACTGGAGGCAATGATGCTAATATTGAATTACATAATGAAATCCCCAAATTCCATAAATAAGTTTGCGAAAGACTGTTGCGTATGTAATGGTTCTTTAAGTTCGTGAAAATCCAACGAATGTGTACTTAGAGCAGAATCGACCCAACATACAGACCGCCCACAATTCCACAACTGCTCCTAATATAAAAACTTCCAGCTTTTTCTTTTCTTTGTATCAACATAGATAGTTTGGCACACGTGAAATTTGCATTTATCTGTTCAGTCCCTTTCAGATTAAAACGTAAATACGATAAACTCGTGAGAAACAGGAAGAGGTGAGGCGGGGTAAACGCATGCCCATTGGATTTATGGAGTTTATCGTCCAGCTCCAAAAAATGTTTATTAATCATGAGCACTATACTTCTGGGGTCCATTTCATTACGATTGAAACACATGAAAACATACTACTTAGGCCTAGAAACGTTTTCCACAATATTTATCTTAAATAAATAAATGCGTCTGAAAAACCACTGGACGCATCTTTTATATTAATTTGAACCATTCTAAAGTTGAGTCTGTGTTTTATACATAAGGCCTGTATTGCACCGTTGCAAGATAAGAGATGAGACTTTTTCTGTTTTTTTCCCTGACTTGACGTCTTCTGTTTACAAAGTCGGTACTTGTGCCAGACTTTTGAGATATCGATGAACACAAAACCCCCATGCGTGGGGAAATCAAATGTACATCCGTCCTCAATTCACCCAAAAACCGTATCTGAGTATTTGGCGCCCACATTATTCAACCCATAAAACGTATTAAAACACTACCTTATAAAGATCTTTCATTATATCTCTTAATTGTTAGGTATTGCACACGTATTACATATCGTTAATGTACTCGGCCTTAGTCTCAATCTAGCTAACCTCCCATGTGTGAACTAGGTTAGGCGATTAGGCCTAGTTTTTAAGGATTAGAACACATTAGCCTAAGATCAGCCTCCACTGTGTCACAGCTACATAACTAATATACTCGTTTGAATGCTGAAAGGATTGGCTAGTATTAACGATAATCTATATCGATAGAAGTGAAGAAGCCAAAATTATGCATAGCATGTGGAAACATTTACATGATTATAAACTAAAGCTTAATTTGAGTTGGGGGCTGGTAAGGTTAGGTTCCCCAGCTGTTAAGCAGCTCAAACCACACAATTTCGTCGATAGCATCCTTAACCACGTGAATCCGTCAGGCACCCGAACTAGAGGCAACGAACCGGTGGGGCGTGATCCAGGACAGCAGACGAGATGGCTGGAATCACCTGCTAACACACACTGTCAAACTCTAATATTTTGTCTAATTATCTTTTTTAAAATTCAAGTTTATTGGTTAGCGTATTATTTATGTAAATAATTATTGGTTTATTATGAAAAAAAAAAAAAAAAGTATCTCTCTGCCAACAGTGATTATCGGTTTGCACAGGTTTTTTATGATGAATCAGAATAGAGTTGTGGTTTTTTGTCTTTCAGTTGTTGTGATTTTTCAGTGAAAACATAACAGCAGCTTAAACTAACTATAAGCTATGATAATGTTTCAATGAAAAAAACCACATTCAAGTGAATTTGTAGAATGTTTCATGTGACTTCAACTCGTTACATAGAGTCCTTATTGACAATGTGTGTAGACCATGGCCTTTTCATTTGGGTGGCCTGCAGGGGGAGCTTATCTGGGGAAGCCTTGATCCACCCAGTGGGGGAGGGTCCCAGCTCAAAAGTGGCCAAAATGACGTGCGCTGACATGCTGCAATACCACCCCGGGCCGATGGGGGTGGACCCAGAAGTAGAATTAGCCAATGCTAACATATAGCATTGGCAGACCTCTCAAAAACGTCTTTACAGGATGGTCCAAAAGTTGGCTCTTGGCCCAAATGTTCCACATGTGTGTCAATGCTGAGGGGGGTGGATTTTTTTGGTCCACTCTAGTTTACTTGCTGTGAATTTTTGAAGTCTCGTCGTTCAAATGAATGGAGCTGCGCCGGCTGACGCATGCGCAGATGCGTTTTTTCACAATTTTCTTGTGGGCGGGACCACTCGCGGCCATTTTGGATTGCTCCAGTAGAGCAAATTATTTGGCCCATTAGTTAGAACGGCGGAGATAGGCGTGACTCTGTCCATTAATATATACAGTCTATGGATCCACCTCGCCCGCCTCATTCGAGTGATTTTTTTCAAAGTGTCCTCCTTTATATGAGCCCACAGTTGGAACATGGAAGAAACTCTTGTCTTTCTCTCTATTTCAGAATCAGAATCAGAATCATTTTTATTGCCACGTAAGTAACAGGAGGTCACAGACTTGGAAATTGCTTTGGCTCAGTGCAACAGTCAGAAAGAGATAATAAATATATTTGCGCGGTTGCTACAAGCGTACACCGCACAAAAAAATGGCATTTTGACAGCGCTTCTTCTTCTACTATATCTCCGTGTATAAAACCGGCAGACTGTACGGCCAGCATATGTCACGTCCTGTTTCTTATTAATCTAATGATTGACCAATGCTTAGAAGTTCAATGTGGCGCAACTTAATGTGTTTTTCTAAACAATGAAGCAATTTCCCCTGAGGTCAGAACACTTCCTTAATCACGCGACACTCGACTCGTTTGTTTCCTGCGTGGTTAAACAAACTGCTTCTCTGGGTTTAAACACATTTTCACTGAAGGTTTTAAGCCGGGATTGAAAAAAAAACAAAGAACGACAACAGTGTTTCACCTGCAGCCCGAGGAGAATGAGGAAGTACACGTTGGCGATGCGCTGGAACTGCTCGAAGAGGTTCAGAGGTAGAAATGTGAAAAAGTTGTATTTGCAAGTTTTTATGGCGTTTGTCTGAAAACAGAAGCAAAATGACAATCAACACAATGGAAATGAATAAAGTTTGAATATATCAATAAAAGTCAATAATCAATCAATAAGACAAAAGAACAAAAAAAAGAAAAGAAGTGAGCATTTAGCACACAGTTATGGTATATCCAACGGGAAGACCAGAGAGAGAGACCAGAGAGAGAGACCAGAGAGAGAGACCAGAGAGAGGCCAGAGAGAGGCCAGAGAGAGAGACCGGAGAGAGAAACCAGAGAGAGAGACCAGAGTGAAACCAGAGAGAGAGACCAGAGAGAGACCAGTGAGAGAGACCAGAGAGAGAGACCAGGGAGAGACCAGAGAGAGAGAGACCAGAGAGAGGCCAGAGAGAGGCCAGAGAGAGGCCAGAGAGAGACCAGAGAGAGAGACCAGAGAGAGACCAGAGAGAGAGACCAGAGAGAGACAAGAGAAGAGAGACCAGAGAGAGAGAGACCAGAAAAAGACCAGAGAGAGGCCAGAGAGAGGCAAGAGAGAGACCAGATAGTGATACCAGAGAGACCAGAGAGAGGCAAGAGAGAGACCAGAGAGAGACCAGAGAGAGAGACCAGAGAGATCAGAGAGAGACCAGAGAGAGAGACCAGAGAGAGAGACCAGAGAGAGACCAGAGAGAAAGACCAGAGAGAGAGACCATAAAAAGACCAGAGAAACACCAGATATACCAGAGAGAGAGACCAGAGAGAGACCAAAGTGAGAGACCAGAGAGAGAAACCAGGGAGAGACCAGAGAAAGAGAACAGAGAGAGACCAGAGAGAGACCAGAGAGAGAGACCAGAGAGAGAGACCAGGGAGAGACCAGAGAGAGAACAGAGAGAGACCAGAGAGAGGCCAGAGAGAAGCCAGAGAGAGACCTAAGAGAGGCAAGAGAGAGACCAGAGAGAGACCAGAGAGAGACAAGAGAAGAGAGACCAGAGAGAGAGAGACCAGAAAAAGACCAGAGAGAGGCCAGAGAGAGGCAAGAGAGAGACCAGATAGTGATACCAGAGAGACCAGAGAGAGGCAAGAGAGAGACCAGAGAGAGACCAGAGAGAGAGACCAGAGAGATCAGAGAGAGACCAGAGAGAGAGACCAGAGAGAGAGACCAGAGAGAGACCAGAGAGAAAGACCAGAGAGAGAGACCATAAAAAGACCAGAGAAACACCAGATATACCAGAGAGAGAGACCAGAGAGAGACCAAAGTGAGAGACCAGAGAGAGAAACCAGGGAGAGACCAGAGAAAGAGAACAGAGAGAGACCAGAGAGAGACCAGAGAGAGAGACCAGAGAGAGAGACCAGGGAGAGACCAGAGAGAGAACAGAGAGAGACCAGAGAGAGGCCAGAGAGAAGCCAGAGAGAGACCTAAGAGAGGCAAGAGAGAGACCAGAGAGAGACCAGAGAGAGACAAGAGAAGAGAGACCAGAGAGAGAGAGACCAGAAAAAGACCAGAGAGAGGCCAGAGAGAGGCAAGAGAGAGACCAGATAGTGATACCAGAGAGACCAGAGAGAGGCAAGAGAGAGACCAGAGAGAGACCAGAGAGATCAGAGAGAGACCAGAGAGAGAGACCAGAGAGAGAGACCATAAAAAGACCAGAGAAACACCAGATATACCAGAGAGAGAGACCAGAGAGAGACCAAAGTGAGAGACCAGAGAGAGAAACCAGGGAGAGACCAGAGAAAGAGAACAGAGAGAGACCAGAGAGAGAGACCAGAGAGAGAGACCAGGGAGAGACCAGAGAGAGAACAGAGAGAGACCAGAGAGAAGCCAGAGAGAGACCTAAGAGAGGCAAGAGAGAGACCAGAGAGAGACCAGAGAGAGAGAGACCAGAGAGATCAGAGAGAGACCAGATGGAGACAAGAGAGAGAGACCAGAGAGAGAGACCAGAAAAAGACCAGAGAGAGACCAGAGAGACCAGGGAGAGACCAGAGAGAGGCCAGCGAGAGACCAGAGAGAGAGACCAGAAAAAGACCAGAGAGAGACCAGAGAGACCAGGGAGAGACCAGAGAGAGGCCAGAGAGAGGCAAGAGAGAGACCGGAGAGAGACCAGAGAGAGAGAGACCAGAGAGAGAAACCAGAGAGAGAGACCAGGCAGAGACCAGAGAGAAAGACCCGAGAGAGAGACCAGAAAAAGACTAGAGAGAGACCAGTTAGACCAGAGAGAGAGACCAGAGAGAGACCAAAGTGAGAGACCAGGGGGAGACCAGAGAGAGACAAAAGAGAGACCAGAGAGAGACCAGAGAGAGACAAAAGAGAGACCAGAGAGAGACCAGAGAGAGAGACCAGGGAGAGACCAGAGAGAGACCAGAGAGAAAGACCCGAGAGAGAGACCAGATAGACCAGAGAGAGAGACCAGAGAGAGACCAAAGTGAGAGACCAGAGAGAGACCAGAGAGAGACCAGTGAGAGAGACCAGAGAGAGAGACCAGGGAGAGACCAGAGAGAGGCCAGACAGAGGCCAGAGAGAGACCAGAGAGAGACCAGAGAGAGACCAGAGAGATCAGAGAGAGACCAGAGAGAGAGACCAGAAAAAGACCAGAGAGAGACCAGAGAGAGGCCAGAGAGTGATACCAGAGAGACCAGAGAGAGACAAAAGAGAGACCAGAGAGAGACCAGGGAGAGACCAGAGAAAGATAGACAGAGAGAGACCAGAGAGGAATGCCAGAGAGAGAGACCAGAGAGAAACCAGGGAGAGACCAGAGAGAGAGAGTGATATTATACTAGCGATTATATGATGTTTTATTTGATGTAGTTGAAGTATACACTCGCCGCATGAAAAGTATGACGTAAAGAAACACACTCAAAAAAACAACAGCAAAACAGCGAGACCACGAACGGTGAACTGCGACACAGCGAGGGACCTCTGTGTATAGATGGACAAAGCTAAACCGCTACAAGGACTAGAAACTTTTTTAAGGATGGGAACCTCTGGGTGGCTTGAGTTCTACCAGTGCCTTATGGTTTTTTACCAACACTGATCACTGAGCAGCCCTGGCCCACTCCATCGCAGACCCAAAGACACAACCGAGCGTTGTTATGTCAGAACATAAACAGTGTGTCTACATATCTGCAGCTGAGTACACATCATGTATGTGGCATGTCAAACGTTACATTTCACAGCACTAGTTTTTAGTGGGAGTCATTTCCTCTGCACCAGGTGGACCTTATCACCCCATACACAGACACACACTCACACACACACAGACACACACTCACACACACACACACACGCACACACAGACTCCCACTGCCTTTTATCAGACTGGACCCTGCCTCTCGCCCTCTCATGAGGCTGTCTGACGGTGACAAGTGCATGTATGAACTCAGGAAATAAGAACACACACACACACACACACACAATAGAGGAGAGGACACAACGTTATTATTCTCCCTCAAAGACTAACAGGGCGAATCTGAGAAGAAATATTACACATTATCCCTTGGCCCTCTGCTACCACCAGAGAGAGGCGTTGAAATTGCTTTGTATTTTTCAAAGATTTTAAAATTACTGGCTGCAAACAGAGACATAACAAATGTCTTTTCAGATGAGAATTTACTGAAAACCATTTAGCGGCAATACTTTTGTTTTAAATGTTTTAATTGTTGAAAACTGCTCTGAGTGTGATGTCATTGTGGATCAATGACAATCAAAAAAAGTCAATTGGATCCAGGCCGTGTTTAATGAATGGAAAAATCATACCTCATACTGTATCTCAACAAACTGTAATCTGAATGAACACATCTAAAGCCCTAGCCTTTGACACGCTTTAGTGAAGGCAAGGGCCGTTCATTGCTGCTTGCGGCTTTATATATTATTATTTAATTGTTTTTGAGTTAAACTTTGCTGAGACTGTAATACATTGTGATAAATTCACCAAAAACATGTATTTAACAAAACAAAATAAAATTTGCCAGATGTGGCAGGGGTCGTGTTTGACCCAGAAGTTATGGATCAATGTAAAATTATTCCAAGGTTTGTCTCGATGAAGGAACGATGATTTTAAAAGGAGAAATTGTTTAAACCAATAAAATCTGTCACATTAGAGTCGCCCACACGATGAAGTGGTCGTTTCTTTCAGAAGCAAAAGAACAAAAACATTTGACGCAGAGTGAATTCTTTGCAGGAAACACTGGGAGCGAGATCAGCTCCTGGTCACATAATGAGAACTGCCCGACATTTCCTCTGGACATCCTGCTCTCGCTCATGTGTTTAGAGTTAGAGGAAAACGGGGAAAGTGCATGTAAATAGCTATTACTAGGAATTTTATTAACTTTTAACACTTTCATGTTTCTTTTTGATATTTGATGTACTTCTGATGCTTTGCTTTGTTTTGTTTGTTTGTGGTTTTGTATTTTAATCTGTAGCACTTTGAGGTTTTCTGGAAATGTAAGGTGCAATATAAATAAAATGTATGATTATTTATACTTTAGATGGATAGATATTCATTTGTCACATACCATGTTGTGAGATTTCATAACGCTTTTAAGCAACTTTTGTTAAAGTTAAACTCATCATTCTATCAATGTGCAGAAGCCAGTACTTTTCCCTTGTTGTGTCTATCTGAAGGCCAAGCTACATGGCACCGTGGCAGCTGCTGATTGGAGGTCTCCATGCCTCCGCTCTGTATAATACACTTGCATTCTGTTGTTCGTGTTGTTCGTGCTGTCTCTACCATCGACAATAAAACATGTCTTCTGTCTGAATGAAAGACGCGATCCCAGACTTAGTGATCTTCTTAAGGATGATGTGACTGTCTCTGTGTGACACGTACGTCTTTCCATGTGTGACGTGACAATGACTATATAAACTGTGTACTGACTCCATTCTGTCTGAGAGAAGGAAACAATGGAAACCACTGGAACTGGAGAGAAACTTAAATAAACTTCCAGAGTTTGGCGCACCACGATCCGTCTCTGTCTGCTTCATTCTTGACAATGTTTACAACACGGTCAATAACATGTAGTGAAATTATTCTACTTGAATTCACTACCTGAATATGGGATTTTTTTTTTACACTTTTGACCAAAACAAACAGTGCTGCCCCTGGAGAACGTCTTCATAAAGTTGTTACACACTTCTAATTTAACATGATATTTAACAAGCTTTTGCTCCTTCCTACTCCTTTTGCACATGAATAAGTGTTAAGTCTTGTTGTTGACATTTCTTTGTTTTTGTTCTTGTCTTGTATTTATTGTCGTTTGGTTTTTTTGTTCTTATTCTGTTGTTTTAATCCATGTTCAAATAAACTTTCATTCCTTAAACGTTTCCTAGCATTTGTGCTAAAACCTGGCACTTGACTTCTTGATCAAATAAATTCAATTCAATTCAATTCTGCAGTCATTCTAGAGAGAGTCATAAAACCTCTTCTCAGCATGTTTAAGTCGACAGAAGGATAAAAAATGATTCATTGATTGAACTAGACCCAACACTCACCGCATACTTGAAGGACAGGTTGTATTCTCTGTCGTTGGCTCTCAGTCTCCTCTCCAGCTCTGCAGATCAACACGGGTCAGGAATGAAATACACAATCAATCAACGCGCTCCTCTTTCATTTCTACCAACACAGAAACCTACACAGACATGGGGAGAACATGCAAACTCCACTCGGAAAGGCCTGGGTTCAATTCTTGAGGTGGAATTGTAAGTTTGTTCCTTTGCTCCTTTTTACATTCAGTTGAGTTTAGTTTTTGGATAATCGTTTATTAAATTATTATTTTAGCAGTTTTGTATTGTGGGTCCTTCCACCTTTTTGAAACATGACAGAAAGTTAGGTACCCGAGCTTTAAGCAGTGCTGTTAAATGACTTTTATCAAATCACTATCATTATATCTGAAATTGTCGTGTTTTGCTGGTGTATTTACTGTGGCCTGGGGTTCCTCTGACCGTCTTCCAAATATGGAGACCAAAAAAATCACTTGTTGATTGCTGTAAATCTGAGGTCATGTCATTGTGTCCTGCAGATTCATTCATGTTGGTGGTGATATACGTCTGGGCTGTGTCTCCCAAAACCTCCGCAAAAGGAAATGAAGATAAAAGAAACTATAGTTGATTTTTGAGAGAAAATACAGTGCCTTGCGAAAGTATTCGTCCCCCTTGAACCTTTCAACATTATGCCACATTTCAGTCTTCAAACATAAAGATATCGAATTTTAATTTTTTGTCATGAATCAACAACAAGTGGGACACAATCGTGAAGTGGAACGAAATTTATTGGATAATTTAAACTTAAAAAAAAAATAAAAAACTGAAAAGTGGGGCGTGCAATATTATTTGGCCCCTTTACTTTCAGTGCAGCAAACTCACTCCAGAAGTTCAGTGAGGATCTTTGAATGATCCAATGTTGTCCTAAATGACTGATGATGATAAATAGAATGCACCTGTGTGTGATCAAGTCTCTGTATAAATGCACCTGCTCTTTGATAGTCTCAGGGTTCTGTTTAAAGCACAGAGAGAACCATGAAGACAAAGGAACACACCAGGCAGGTCCGAGATACTGTTGTGGAGAAGTTTAAAGCCGGATTTGGATACAAAAAGATTTCCCAAGCTTTAAACATCTCAAGGAGCACTGTGCAAGCAGTTATATTGAAATGGAAGGAGTATCAAACCACTGCAAATCTACCAAGACCCGGCCGTCCCTCCAAACTTTCATCTCAAACAAGGAGAAGACTGATCAGAGATGCAGCCAAGAGGCCCATGATCACTCTGGATGAACTGCAGATAACTACAGCTGAGGTGGGAGAGTCTGTCCATAGCACAACAATCAGTCGTGCACTGCACAAATCTGGCCTTTATGGAAGAGTGGCCATTTCTCAAAGATATCCAATAAAAGTCTCTGAAAAGTTTGCCACAAGCCACCTGGGAGACACAACAAACATGTGGAAGAAGGTGCTCTGGTCAGATGAAACCAAAATCAAACTTTTTGGCCACAATGCAAAACAATATGTTTGGCGTAAAAGCAACACAGCTCATCACCCTGAACACACCATCCCCACCTCAGCTGTAGTTATCTGCAGTTCATCCAGAGTGATCATGGGCCTCTTGGCTGCATCTCTGATCAGTCTTCTCCTTGTTTGAGATGAAAGTTTGGAGGGACGGCCGGGTCTTGGTAAATTTGCAGTGGTCTGATACTCCTTCCATTTCAATATAATTGCTTGCACAGTGCTCCTTGAGATGTTTAAAGCTTGGGAAATCTTTTTGTATCCAAATCCGGCTTTGAACCTCTCCACAACAGTATCTCGGACCTGCCTGGTGTGTTCCTTTGTCTTCATGGTTCTCTCTGCGCTTTAAACAGAACCCTGAGACTATCAAAGAGCAGGTGCATTTATACGGAGACTTGATCACAGACGGGTGCATTCTATTTATCATCATCAGTCATTTAGGACAACATTGGATCATTCAAAGATCCTCACTGAACTTCTGGAGTGAGTTTACTGCACTGAAAGTAAAGGGGCCAAATAATATTGCACGCCCCACTTTTCAGTTTTTTATTTGTTAAAAAAGTTTAAATTATCCAACACATTTCATTCCACTTCACGATTGTGTCCCACTTGTTGTTGATTCATGACAAAAAATTTAAATTGTATATCTTTATGTTTGAAGCCTGAAATGTGGCGAAATTTTGAAAGGTTTCAGGGGGCCGAATACTTTCGCAAGGCACTGTAAAATGTGACAATGAGTGATGGTGACGGTCCAACTATCGATCGTCTCATGACATCTGACTGTTATTTATGTGTCATTCTTTATAGACTGTAAATATGAACGGACAGAGTGACGCCTATTTCCTCTGTTGAAATCGATGGGCAGCCCCTCCCGCAGGAAAATGTGAAAAACATTTTTTTTAGCCGGGACAAGCCCCAGTCATTTAACGAGTGCCTTCAAAAATCCACAGAGGCTAAATCAGGCTGGTCCAAAAAAAAAAAAAAACTCCCCTCAGCATTGACAGCATCTAGAAGAGCCATAACCTGAATTTTGGACTATCCTGTAAAACCATTTTCGAGAGAATGAAATAATCATTAGAATTCAATGGATATTTCTGTTTCCGGGTACACCCCCACCGGCAAGCAGCCAGAACACAGGCATGTCAGCGCACAAGCTCGTTTGGCCCATTTTGAGCCAGGACTCGCTACCACTGGGATTTCCGACGTGTGATAATTTAACAACAAAACAACAACATTTACCTCTTTCTTTCTTGGTAAAACAGTCCAGTCCAAAGAACGTCATCTTCACTCCTCGTTCTGCTATCTGTCCATCATACGGAGAACCTAAAAAGAAAAAATGACATCAATAGCTGCAATAATAATGGAATTCCACATGGACTCGTTTCAGACCTTTTACTGGATACAAGGTCATTTGGCTTGCATTGAGAAATGACATTTTCCAACAAAGATTGGATTAGGGATGGGCCAACAACACCCAGAATCTATTACAGCCAATAACTGACAAAAATATTGCTTTATTGCTTCTTCTCTTCACTTTTTGATAAAACCAGGCCCATGACATTGCAGAGGTTGTTCTGTTTAAAAGACAAATGTTTATTGTGCATTGTCTCTGATCAAATAAATAAATTCAATTCACAAGACACAGTTACGTTGAGAAAGAGCGACTTTACAAAAAAAAATGTAAATGTATTAAATGATCAATAAAGTTTTCTCTTGACTGAGCTCAGTCTGGGGAACCGAGACTGACAGGTTCATGAGGCCTAAGTCAATCTGAAATATATGAGAGTGCCAGATTGTGGGAGGCTTTATTAACAAGAAAAAGGATTTCCATAGAAATTCTCCAGAAAATGTCTCCGACTACGGCTGAACCTATTTTACCTTCCTAAAAATGTATAATGTTTGTCCGACAGAAGGACTCTTAAAAAGGTCATTTAAAAGTAATCAGACCATATCACATTTTAATTTTATAAGTAAACAGGACCGATGAATCTCTGATCTGTTGTTGGAGAATCGACAAATTTGTAAAGTCCTCCAAGACGACTGATTTTGTGATTTGGGGCTTTACCAAAATACTGTAGATTGAATTGAATTGATTGGTTAAATGTGGGTGGTCCTCGCTATTTTCGCTTTTCTGTCTGAAAAAGGCTGATCTAAAGGCTCTTTTCCGTTCACTCACACAGAACAGGGAAAAAAGGCTTCTGTGTATGCGGCTCCTTTTAAATGGAACGTGTTGCAAAAAGACTGGGAATGAACAGAAGTATTTCATTGAATGCTTTAAAGTCCAGATTGAAAACTTGGAACGTATTCTTAACTGTTTATCCATCCATCCATCCATTTCCTACCCTTTAATCCATTTCTGGGTCAGGGGGGTGGCAATCAGAGATGCCACCCAAGTCTCATAGCACCAGCCCCTCACTGACCCTCTGCAGGTGGTGAGTCCACAGGAGGACGGCTGCTCTCTGAGTGTGAGCATAGCCTTGATCTTTCAGTGGGGGCTTTTGGGCAAAGTGGGGTTAAGTGTCTTGCCCAAGGACACAACGACAGCAGTCATCAGTGGGAGTCGGTGGAGAAGGTGTAGAGGTGGGAATTGAACCCACGACCTTCAGGCCTTAAGGCCAATGCTCTACCAACTGAGCTACTGTATTCTTAACTGTTTATATAATCTGTAATTATGTGTAACTTTTGCTGTGTCTTGTCCGGGACTCCCATAAAAAAAAGGTTCATAATCTCAGTGGGACTTTCCTGGTTAAATAAAGGTTGGGAAAATGACAGCAGAATTATATAAGTTATATTATTATTATTTTAATAAAAACTTAATAGATTGTCTTTAAGCTAGCTGTGTTGCCATGATACAGGATGATAATATGTTTAGTCTTTAATGTTTGCATTGTTAATGGATGTCCTTCTGTCACAAGTTTGTGGTGAAGGAAAGTGTAATTCGCTATGTGCAATTTCTGAGTTGTCAGCGTGTGATTAGACTGGAAACCTTTTTAGGCAAAAATGTTTGAACAATGTCAACAAACTAATGGTTTAGGCCATATGGAATCTTTCATGTGCACATAATGTGAATGTGTTTTGGTCTGTTCACCTTTGAGACATGAGCAGTAGTCTCGCAATGGCGGGGCAAGAAGCTTCGCCCTGCTGATGTGAAACTTGCTCAAGTAAAAATCTAACCTCTGTCTGATTTGGTTTTGTCCAGGTACTGTAGTTTGAACCAGTTTTAACAAAAAAAAGGCGTGACAGACGCTGAAATATGCATGGGAAAACCAGTGATGTAAGCAAACATAGACGTTTCGAGAGCTATAGGAACTAGATATAGCTTGAAAGTTAAATATTCCAGCTTTAAATAAAGCCAACAGTTTCTGCTTACAGGTCAGCGTATGGGAATCCTGCTGAGCATAGAGCTACTCGGAATGTAATTAAGTGAGAGCGAGGGCCACTGTTGACAAGCCTGTGCATTTAAACCTCTGCCGTAAAGGTGTCCCGTTACTCCTGCATTTATCCACAATTGCATCATTCTTCTTTCCCTTTTAAACATTTTCCAGTCTGAGCTCCGTGACCCTAGTGGGTGGCACCTTCGAGAACGCTGCAGTCACTTCCACCATAGGCAGAAGAAGGACAAAATGTTTTGGGGGAGTCTTTTCTTGAAGACTCCTCCAAAACAGGAAATGGCTTGAGTGCAGACCCCGCCCCTGTTCGTTGGCCTACAAGTGACGTCAAAGCTAAAAATATCTTCCACATGTTTCTAATCGACAATGTCTTTAACAGGAGAGGACGAGGTTTGTGGAGTATGTGTGGATTTCAAATGTACTATCCATAAGTTTGAGTCTGAAGTGATTGGATTCTTCTATACCAGACAATTGTAAGATAGTGATGTTATTTTACATCTGAATCTGTTTTCCATCTTTGCAGCAGATATTTGAGGAGACTTGATGAGATTTGTTATTAGACGGGCAAAGAAAATCACCTCAGGTTCGTGAACCTACGACCTTAGTAGTAGCAGTAGTAGTTTATTCAGGCCTTCAGGCCTAAAGGCCAATGCTCTACCAACTGAGCCACAGTCGCCCTCGGGTTTTACACTAATATGGTATATTTTACTGTATATAATGTATGCAATTTTCCACAGTTATTACACAGACTTAAGTTTTATTACAACCTCAAAAAAAGAGTAGCTCTCTGACGTTCTCTGTTGTTCAAAAGTAGCTCACTGATCGAAACATTTTGTGGAGACCCCTGGCTTATACTATTACATTATGTCCTGAGCAGAGCCATTTTCAGAAAGCATCAACATTAGTTTAGGTTTCTAGTTTCTGGTATGACATCTTTAAGGTCTTTAAAGTGGGATTTCTTCGTTCCTTTCTTTTCAGTCACAAACCCACCCCCACAAACACTCCTCTCCCACTCAACCTGAACAGTCACAGTTTGTCTTGTGACCGCAAACGTATCGAGTGTCGGACACCTGTGGCTGATGCCGAGGCCGCAGAAGTGAATGGGGCACCTGTCTTTATCACCGATCTCCCCTCCCCTTTAATGCACCCCAAACAGTGGGCTATTAACAAAGCCCCCATTATCTACGCCCCAGTCAGAAAGTAAATAAAAGAGTTTTTGTGGTTTCTTTGGTCTGTTAGTTGTGTCAACGATTGTAAGGCTACAGCTGGGGTAACAAAAAATAAATAAAAAAGAACTGTTATATAGACAGTACATGTATTACATCTTTAGATCAAGGCAAGGCAACAGTTCATGCACAAGGCAACTCAAAGTGCTTAACAAAACAAGTAAAAAACCTTCAAATCAAGCAATACAATAATAACTAATCAATGTACATTAAAAAAGGCGGAAGATGCAATCCTTCAGTCGTCTACACGGCTAAACAGAACTGATTTTTAGACTTGGATTTGAATATTGTCAGAGAAGAAGCCTGTCTCACATTTTCTGGAAGACTTTTCTAGATTTTAGCAGCATGAATCGGATAAGCTGCCTCCCCATGTTTAGTCCTGAGTCTGGGCAGCAGCAGGAGGCCAGTCCCTGTGTCAGGAAGATCAGATTTTTCAGGCACAAAAGTGAAAAAGAGAGGACCACCCTCACTCACAGCTCTCTCAATTCAATTTCAATTTTATATTTTCATATCCCTAAATCAGTTTTGACTTTGAGTGAAATGCGAGCTCATTCTGGATCAGGTCTGAGGGTTGACTTGTATCTGTCACACCTGTGTTTAACTATGTTTTCTCACACAGGCTCTGGTCTTATCTGGAGACTGAATAAAAATAGCCTCACCACACGCTCTAGTGTTGACAGGGCTTAGAGAAGTTCCCATCAGCGATAAGAACTGATCGTATCGTTGACAAAAATATCGTATCGAATCAAAAGTCTCCTGCTTCTATATGTATGTATCGTACCACATTGGAATACACGCACAAAGGTATCCCTGTGCGCACCAGGCAAGTACAAAAAGCTAAACAAATACACAAAAAAGTACAAGAAAGTACAATTGAATGGTTAATGTGCAAAGACAGACGCCATTAGGAAACATATCTGGAAGTTTAACCATAACCATAAAAGTCGTTTTTATATATTTTAATAATATATAAGTAAAGTTCCACCCCTTTTTAGCAAATTCTTATGGCCAATAACAAAACATGTTGAAGATTTTAGCTCAAGGAATACAACTTTTTGACAAGATTTTAAACTCTTCACTTTCTATTCAAGCAAATTATTGAAATATCCAATCCAATTTATTGATATAGCACTTTTTCTTAAACAAATTTCCAAAGTGCGGCGCAGATAAAAGTTTAACACATTTAAATATACAGGTTTGCCAGATTTATATGTTAAATAATAGAATAAATAAATGGGGGTGGGAAACTCAGGGTACCTCACGATACGATACCATGTGCGATACAAAGCTCACGATAACGGTTATTTCACGATATGATATTATATGATAAGTAATGATAATAATAATAAAAATATAACAAATAAAGAAAAGTGAACAAAAATACATTGTTCTAGCAAATATGCATTTTTTGTTTTAAATCCGTAATGTACTTTTTTTGTTTTTGTTTACATAGTTGCTGTGTTAAAGTGGCTAATGACCTGAATGTGACGTGATGTCAGGTTGGGCTCACAAAAGCAAGTTGCTTCAGCCCAATCCTGTTTTTGGTTGTAATGTAGTCAGTGAATGTGATATGTCACTAATCAAACAACTGACCAAATAAACATTCATTCATTCATATGACGAGGCAGCGATTATCGATATATTGGTCAAAAATATACCTACGATAATAGTTTTCTTATATTTATGGCATAAATTAAGTGAAAAAATACAATTTATTTCAAGATAAATGGATAAAGTGTCATGTGTAACATTAAAGTGAACAGGCAAAAATGCCTTTTAACCACATTTTAGTAAAAATCTTACTTAATCTGTCTCATATCCAATAAAATCAATATGAACATTCTACAGAAATTGGAGAATGCCTAATGTAGCCATATATTCAGAAGCTTAAAAAAATATATGTTGCATAAAAAAATCTAGCAAAAGCATATTGATAATCAATTGCGTGAGAAAGTATCACGAAACAAATAATCTCCGGAGGAGTTCGAGGACATAAAAACAGCCCTCGACTTTGAGATGACAACCGTCAGAGAGCAGCAGACACAGCTTCTGTCTTTACTGGAGCTGGTGAACACCCTTCGTCTCCAGAGCGCAGACAAAGACCGGCGCATTGAGGTTCTGGAGCAGCGGGTGGATGAGCTGGAGCAGTAAGTCATCTTTATCTTTATTTATATACCGCCTTTTCACTGCAGATCTGAGTCTCAAAGCGGTTTACAATTGTTAATTTTGGGCATTTATCTCTCTCTCCACACAGAGATGGGAGCGGGGTCGCCGGTACAGGAGGCGCATGCCAGACATGCCTATTGGACATATTTTTAGTGGTAGGGGAAACCGGAGTACCCGGAGGAAACCTACGCAGACACGGGGAGAACATGCAAACTCCACTCAGAAAGGCCCTGGTCCGACCGGGATTCGAACCCAGGACCTTCTTGCTGAGAGGCGAGAGTGCTATCCACTCAGCCACCGTGCCGAGTGGATAGCAGTACAGCCGCATGAACGACATGATCGTCACTGGGATCAAAATCAAGCCACGTTCGTTTGCTCGAGCAGTGGCCCCCGACGAGGTCAGCGGTCTGCCCAGCGAGGAGGAGGTGAGGTCTGTGGAGCAACAGGTCGCATCCTTTCTCCAAGCGAAGGGGATAGATTTTTGATTGATTCTGGCACAAACTTGTAACTTCGCTCCTTCTGGCTAAAAACATGTGCATTAATTTTTATTTTCTGAGATTTGTACATGGCTTCTCTACGGAAGGTAAGTTTATTAGTGTAGCACAGTTCACAAGTGCAACTCAAAGTACTTAACAAAAAAGATTCTCTATGTTTTCTCCGCTCTGCAAGAGGCTGATTCTGGGTCAGATTCTGCCTCAACAAACTATAATAACACGTGATTCTTACCTGACATAAAGAGAGATCGGCACCACGGTGTTGAGGATGATGATGTAGGACCAGAAGGCGAGGAAGGCGGACAGGGAGGCGCCGGTGCCTTCTTGTCTCGGCAGAAAAACCGTGAACTGCGATCCGTCCTTCAGCTCCCACACAAAGTTTCCAATGGCCAGCACCGTGCACATGACGGCGAGGAAGCCAAAAATCTACACGAAAACAACAGCATTTAAGCTTTGTAATAATATCTTTCTATCTATGTGTCTTATCATATCATAAATATCCTGCATTGCTTTGCTTCTTACATGCAAAACCATGTCAATCTTGAAGCGGTACAAACTACAATGCTAACATGTTTTCCCAAAGAGCAAGGGGAGACTGGTACTGGTATTATTTGTGATACAGGCTGTAAGTATAAGTATCAGAGCAGATGTATACAGTATATAAAAGTAGACAGAGGTAGCTGGCTAGAACCAAGTTTTCCATCGTGAATGAAGTAATCTGAATAATAAATCCCAAATGAACAAAGACAATACACACCAGGATCATAGAAAGTGCAAAACCACAGATTTTTTTAAGCTCAAAATGGTGAGTGTGGCGTAAACCGTTATTGAGTTTGAGGAATTAACTTTTTTAATGTAAGTCAATAGGAGTCAGAACAAGTTGGAGCAAAACTTTGTACATGAGCACTTTCCTTTTGGGCTTCCTCTAGCTAGCAGGTTAGCACACTTCATCTATATACAGTCTATGAGCGCAAACAATGGAGGAACTATCTATAAGTGTTGTTTGGCCTCAGACGGGAAATGTTGATGATTCTCAATGACAAATTAAGTTCTAGTGAAGTTTCAGAATAGCGTATTCATTTTTAGCTGATTAGTCCCCTTCATCGCTCTGCCAACAAAAATCTAAGGCAAATGTAATCTTACCCATTGATCAGGGGTATTCAACTCGGTCCTCAAAGGGCAGAGTGGCTGCAGGTTTTCATTCCAACCAAGCAGGAACCCACCAGACTCTCTGAAGACATGGGGAAATAGGTGGAGTATGGTGTGCTCCTGCTTGGTTGGAATGAAAACCTGCAGCCACACAGCCATTGTTGAATACCCCTGCGTTAGATCTGACCAATAAATACCTATATTATATACATTGTCACTCCTGAAATGCAGAATCAACCAGAAACCAAAAATGTAGGGGAGAGAAAAAGAAAGATTGAACTTACACATAGAACTAATACGTTCATGAGGCGGTCGATGCTGGTTCTCTTAAAAGTACTTTTGCCACAGTTCTGCATCAGCTTTGTCTCTGGACCTGAAGACAAGAAAAGACAATTGCATTCCTTGGTGTGTTAAAAATATACTAGAACTCCCAGAGCAGTCAATTGGACGGCTTTTAGTTTTAAAAGTGTAATTATTCAGCCTCTTAACTTTGTGACTTTTTCTGTTTCTATAAGTAGTTTATTTCTATGTCATAAAATTATCTTTTATTCTTTGAATAGTTATAGTAGTTAGTTATAGTTATATATTTATTTAAAAACCTGCACAACACTAGATACAAATATTAATCATCAAATGAAAAAAATGTCAAAATGAGAAAAGTTCTTCCTTTAGCTTCATTCATTTATTGCCATTTTCTGTGTCTTTCTTTCTATGGTACCTAAACGATTTTTTTTCAAGAAGCTGATTCTGGACCGATCTTGTTTTTCCACCAGAGAAGAGAGAGTGCTGGTTACCATAGCAACACACTGTTTACTGTTAGCAGTTAGCATTTGGTAGCCATTCAACATGTTTTTTTTTTTTTTCAAGTTATATTCACCAGTTTCAGCGCTTTTTTAAAAGTGAGTGAAGGTAAAAACCTCATAAATGACATAATTTGAATAAAACTAGAGAGAAACACATTTATTGAGGGGTAATTTGTCGCATTTCCATTGTTTTGAATGGGAGCAGTCACACTGACGGCTCTGGGAGTTCGTTAGATACATAATGATTGGGTAACACAGACCTCCAAACAGCACCAGGCCGTAGCACCAGCCCGTGTTCCTCAAGGTGCAGCCGCGCAGCAGAATCTTCTCGTTGTTGAGGGAATATTTCTGACCAGCAAAAGTCAGAGTTCCAGTGAAACGGTCCAGACGGTTGTTTGGGGGCTCACACCGCACCTCGCCTAAAGTCAGGAATTATTGTTAAGACGATGGAAAAATAAGGGAAGGGACTAATAGTCTAGAGGGGCTAATATATAATTATATTTCCATTAAATAGTTCAATTAAAGTTCAATCATAGTTTAAAAGAAAGACTACAATAAACAGTATTCTTTGATTATTATTGGTTATTGTTTAACCAGTATATGTGTGTACCTGTTTGGTTGTGTGTCTTGAATTTGTGTGTGTTTTGTGTTGAGTATGAGTGGCAGGAGAGAAAAATCTTTGAAGACATGTTGTTTGGAAAATGGGGAAAATTTCAAACTTTATTACAATACTTGTAAAAATACTTTTTCCATGCTCGTTTTGGACGATTACCTGTAATGTTTTACTCTTAAGAATAATAATAGGTTTTATGGGGCCACAAGGTTTTATAAGTTTCTTTGGTATTGTTTAAAATGCCCAAGAAATTGTGTTATTTTTCATTATAATTCAATATCATTATCATTTTGATTATTGATAAAACATGTTTCCTAGAATCTACTTTTTTATCACAATATAAATTTGTTTGATCAATAAACTTGATGTTGGGCATTTCAAACAAAAGGAAGTGACCAAAGGAAATGACCCAGGGCAGGTCAAGTTATCCTCAAATTCTCAAAATTCGGCTAAATTTTTTTTAATCTAGGGTGGTTTTTTATTATTATCTAATTATTGCACTCAATACTTTTGACAACAACTCGCTCTGGCTCCTATCGACTTTAAAAGTAAACTCCGCTCGCTCACTGTGTCACACTCACCATTTTGAGCTTGACAATCTTTGTGTTTATATTGTGATATTGTCTTAATAAATCTAGCCCTAACAACTGACCAATCAGGAGCCTTCTGTCACTAAATTCAGCTCTTGGAAACGCGGCCAGGGCTAGCAACAAAACGTACGTCAATTTGGCCCCACCTTTCCGCTCAAATAGCCAGTTCGAGCTAGCTTTACTCAACTTTTTCCACATTACGGCTTCAATATGGCGACGTCAGATCTTTGTCAGTCCAATCCCAATACACAGTCTATGTAAAACCCTCTAAAAATGTATATGTCAGAGAAAAACTATTACAGCTGTGATTTAGCATTTCAAGTCCGCCTCAAATACTATTTCTTCACTACTTCATACATTCCCCGCCTGCAGCTGAGATGATTTATCCTATGTCTGCGTACCGTTAAAGTCTGCCAGTTTCTCCATGTTATCTCCAAGGTCTCCGGTCACTGGGAGGGCCTGCTTCACCTTTAGGTTGGTTTCTCTGCGTGAAGGACAAGAAGATTAGGACAAAATGTTACCAAAACAGCGTTAAGAGAACGTGTAGTTACTGTATTATTTACCCGTCCAGTTCAGCAGTTTCAATGTAGACTAAGTTTAGAGGTTCGCTGCTGGAGAGTAGGAGAAGGTCAGCCTGCAGGATTAAAGTGAAAAACCTGGTTGAAATTCTCATTTAAAAAAAGTAATGGTAAAGTGTGTGTGTAACTTACTGTGACAAATTGGTTGTTTTCTAACTTGATGATGTCTCCAACCTGAACATTCATCCATTTTTCACTTTGTAGTCTGAGGAAAAAGCAAATTTTAATGCACTTTTATTCAAATTTGCTCTATCCTGGTTTAATATCGAACCACGTGTGTCCTCAGACAGACGACACACACAACAAGAAAGAGAAAAGTTTCACATTTTCCTTTCTACAAGAGAGACAGTGGTAACAGGAGCGGAGGGGCCCATGTCTGGATCAGGACCTTCGCTCATTTGAAGAATTTAGCATATTTTGAGTTTTAAAGTGCTGTAAGATAACCTTCACCCCAGCGAACATTTCACTGCTCAAGAAAAACATGCAACAAAGATAAGATCCTCCCCCCGAGTTAGATCCGAGCGAAGCAGAAGGATTTGTATAATGTAGGGGTATAAAGGGCTGCATGGTCAATCGCGATAGATTTCGGATTTACACTTCATTGAGCTGCGTTATGCCCGATACAGTATGTGCCTTTGGTCGTCAGTACAGGAGGCGCATTCCAGACCTGTTGCACATGTTTTTAGTGGTAGGGGAAACCAGAGCACCCGAAGAAAGCCTATGCAGAGACGGGGAGAACATGCAAACTCCACTCAGAAAGGCCCTGTTCCGACCGGGATTCGAACCCAGGACCTTCTTGCTGAGAATTGAGAGTACAATCCACTCAGCCACCGTTATTGTAATTATTGTATGGTATTGTTAGTGGTATTTATTTTATTGCTCCACCACATGCCACTAATTTTTCCCCTTGTGGACAATAACGTGTTTGAGTTGAGTTGAGTTGGCGATCGAATTTAAATGGAAGAAAAATTTGGTTACAATCAGAACATCAAAAAGGCTGCAATGATTTGGGTACTTTGCCCAAAAAGGGACTAAAAATACAGAAAAGTCATTGGAAATGGGTTTATTTGCAACAACTAGGGGTTCAGAAAAACAAAAAACGTAAATGGTTGTTATTAGTGCTTCTACATCTTCTCCAACAGAAAAAAAAAACACATAGCTTTCTACAAAGAGTGAACATTTGGTGAATTCTGGGAGAAAAGTTCAGCCTCATAAATTACGACAATAATAATAGTGAGTCTTAAAAACTTTGAGAATCACTATTTTCCAGATGACCTCATGTTGTCGCTGCAAAAGAAGCTAAAAAAAAATAAACACAGACTCACTTTCTGTCGATAAGCACCTGCACTTTGCGGTTGTTGACTTGGTTGTCGCTCCTGTGGCGATTCTGTGAAGATAAAATGGAAATGATTCGTCAAAGTTTAACCATTTTAAAGTCATCTAGAATCAAAGTAAAGAAACACATCAAAGGACATCAAAGAACTCCCAGGGCAATTATATCATTTTTACACTTTATGAGTTTTATCCTTAAGATTCCCATTGGTCAAATATCCTTCATTTCTCAACATAACAAGGCAAAAACCAGAAAGTAGAGAGAAGAAATCACAGACAAAAATGTGATCATTTATTTTTAAACTATAAAACAAAAATAATGTAGTGATTCAAATTGTTAAAAAAAGTATTGAAAATAAAATCTGTTTATTGAGATTTCTTCAAAAGTCCATTGATTGAAGTGGGAGCCGTCAAAATGGCTGCTCTGGGAGTTCTCATAGTTTCATAATTCCGGGAGTCTTACTGTTAAATACTTCTCGAAAGCTGTTTCCAAACATGTGATTGCAATAACTTCAGTCGAATGTAACTGGACCCGGTGAGAGTTTGCGGTTTCGTCACTGAGTGTTTTTAAAGACACATTCTGTAAGTTCTGCTCCGAGAAACATGAACACAACAGGAACAGATGGAGAGCAGCGAGCGCCAGACGGCAAAACAAGAAGTCTCCTGTTTGGGATAATGTTTAACCAATGGCATCAGTTGTGCTTGGATTGGCCTGAATTATTCAAGAGGCTTTGAACAATATTTGAGCCAAAGTCAAGAATGGTAACAGTCAGAAACACAAGACAAAGTCAACAACTAACCTCTGTTCACTGGAAAACACTTTACATGCCAGATGATATAATACTGAATACTGAACCCTCTGATGTTTCATTTCTCCTTTTTAGGAAACATGTCATTCACAAAAGTCCCTGTAGTGTCACGTATGCGCTTGAGTGTGCACTTGACAACTAATACTAATGACTAATTACTGATACTGATAGTGTAATGCACGAAATGACTGTAGGATTGATGCGTATATATTAAATCCCACTGTAATCCCAAATTCATAAATAGTTTGAGAAAGACTGTTGCGTATGTAATGTGATTTAATTTCTGAAAATCCAAGCGATTTTGTTAGCTTAGCCGTAGCACCAACTACAGACCCCCCCCTTCTCACCTCTCCACCAAACCAAACATCCAGCATTTTCTTTTCTTTGTCACAACAGGGAGAGTGGGTGGCAAACGTGAAATTTGCATTTTCTGTTCAGCCCTTTCAGGTTTTAGAAAATACGATAACTCGTGAGAAACAGGAAGAGGGTTGAGGGGGTAAACGCATCCCATTGGTTTATTTTTATCGGTCAGCTCCAAAATATGTTTTATTAATCTATGGAGACTATATGCATCTGGTCCATTTCATTACTATTTGAAAACACATGATAACTTGACTACTTAGGGTATAGGAACGTTTTCCCACAATATTTTTTAAAAAAAAAGCGTCTGGAAAAAACCACTGACTGCATCTTTAAATGTATAGTTGATCCATTCTGAAAGTTGTCTGGTTTAGACAAAGGCCTGTTGCTCCGTTGCAGAAAGAGGAGAGACTCTTTCTGTGTTTTTTCCCTGACTTTGCGTCTTCTGTCCAAAGTCTGGACATTTGCACAGGACTTTGAGATAGCGATGACACAACCCCATGTGGGAAATCAAATGAAATCCTTCCTCAAGTCACCCAGAAAGAGCCGGTTCTGAGTATTTGGTCACACTTTAGTTCAGCCCATACTTATTAACAGCTACATTATAGTTAATTATCTCTTAATTGTTATTAATTCAGCACTTATTAGTTCTCAATGTACTCGGCCTTATTCAAAATCTAGCTAACTTCCCATGTGGGTTAGGACTAGGGTTAGGGTTAGGGCTAGGTTTAGGATTAGGATACACTAATTAGCACTTAAGATCAGCTCTCACTGATTCACAGCTAATTAAGTATTATCTGTTATAGGCTGAGAGATGATTGGCTGAGTATCACTGAGAAATCTATATCTGTATAAGTGACAGAAGCCAAAATACATGCATGTGGAACTAGTTACATGGATTATAACAAACATAAATGTCTTTGTGGCTGTAAAGTTAGGTACCCCAGCTTTAAAGCAGCTCAAACTCACAATGTCGTCGATAGCGTCTTTACCAGCGGTGAACGTCAGCACCAGAAAGAGAGGCACGACGGTGGTGAACCAGGACAGAGACGAGATGGCTGGAATCAACTGCAAAACAACACACCGTCAAAACTCATATCATTTTGTCTATTATCTAATTTAATTCAGTTTCTTTGTTTAGTATTATTATGTATATATTATTATTTTATTTGGAAACAAAATATATATATGTATCTCTTCTGCATCATGTGATGGATGTGCAAATGTGTTTTGTCTTGATATAATGCAGAATTGTGTGTTTTTGTCTTTCATAACATCAGCTTATAGTTTAAGCTGATGTTATGTTTTCACTGAAAAAACAACATTCAAAGTGATTTTAGAATGTGTTCATGTGACATCACAACGTTACAAAGAGTCTTTAGTTTAACAATGTGGTGGAGACGGACTGAAAAATCTTTCCTGGTAACAATAGTAACTGTCAGAATTCATACAAATTAAGATAAGAAGAAATTTGATAGCTATAGCTAGTTCATACTATTAGCTAATTTTTCTGTAATCCCGAGGCCTATTTCCAACTGAAATAGAATTCTACAACATGGACATAATCTATGATATCTTAGTCATATAATAGAAAATAGGCATACAATATAAATGAGAAATAAGAGCAAGTTCCAGTTACCATAGCAACACACTGCTATTCTTGGGTTTCATCAAACTGGCCAGTAGGGGGCGAATGAGCAGAGGTGGACATCTCAGTTTTGCTCCCATTGAAAACCATGTAAATCGTGTCTGTTTTGGAGTCAAAGGCTCTCCTCCTGTGCGGTGTACGGCTGTTATAACAGTCTTAATCAGGGACACTCAATTCTAAGGGAGTATTAAAAAAATATTTCTCAAAAGAGTCTTGATTTCAGGGCATGTTTTGAAAAAACAGAAGAAATTGCTGTGTTTCATTTGGGTGGCCTGCAGGGGGAGCTTATCTGGGGAAGCCTTGATCCACCCAGTGGGGGAGGGTCCCAGCTCAAAAGTGGCCAAAATGACGTGCGCTGACATGCTGCAATACCACCCCGGGCCGATGGGGGTGGACCCAGAAGTAGAATTAGCCAATGCTAACATATAGCATTGGCAGACCTCTCAAAAACGTCTTTACAGGATGGTCCAAAAGTTGGCTCTTGGCCCAAATGTTCCACATGTGTGTCAATGCTGAGGGGGGTGGATTTTTTTGGTCCACTCTAGTTTACTTGCTGTGAATTTTTGAAGTCTCTCGTTCAAATGAATGGAGCTGCGCCGGCTGACGCATGCGCAGATGCGTTTTTTCACAATTTTCTTGTGGGCGGGACCACTCGCGGCCATTTTGGATTGCTCCAGTAGAGCAAATTATTTGGCCCATTAGTTAGAACGGCGGAGATAGGCGTGACTCTGTCCATTAATATATACAGTCTATGGATCCACCTCGCCCGCCTCATTCGAGTGATTTTTTTCAAAGTGTCCTCCTTTATATGAGCCCACAGTTGGAACATGGAAGAAACTCTTGTCTTTCTCTCTATTTCAGAATCAGAATCAGAATCATTTTTATTGCCACGTAAGTAACAGGAGGTCACAGACTTGGAAATTGCTTTGGCTCAGTGCAACAGTCAGAAAGAGATAATAAATATATTTGCGCGGTTGCTACAAGCGTACACCGCACAAAAAAATGGCATTTTGACAGCGCTTCTTCTTCTACTATATCTCCGTGTATAAAACCGGCAGACTGTACGGCCAGCATATGTCACGTCCTGTTTCTTATTAATCTAATGATTGACCAATGCTTAGAAGTTCAATGTGGCGCAACTTAATGTGTTTTTCTAAACAATGAAGCAATTTCCCCTGAGGTCAGAACACTTCCTTAATCACGCGACACTCGACTCGTTTGTTTCCTGCGTGGTTAAACAAACTGCTTCTCTGGGTTTAAACACATTTTCACTGAAGGTTTTAAGCCGGGATTGAAAAAAAAACAAAGAACGACAACAGTGTTTCACCTGCAGCCCGAGGAGAATGAGGAAGTACACGTTGGCGATGCGCTGGAACTGCTCGAAGAGGTTCAGAGGTAGAAATGTGAAAAAGTTGTATTTGCAAGTTTTTATGGCGTTTGTCTGAAAACAGAAGCAAAATGACAATCAACACAATGGAAATGAATAAAGTTTGAATATATCAATAAAAGTCAATAATCAATCAATAAGACAAAAGAACAAAAAAAAGAAAAGAAGTGAGCATTTAGCACACAGTTATGGTATATCCAACGGGAAGACCAGAGAGAGAGACCAGAGAGAGAGACCAGAGAGAGAGACCAGAGAGAGGCCAGAGAGAGGCCAGAGAGAGAGACCGGAGAGAGAAACCAGAGAGAGAGACCAGAGTGAAAACCAGAGAGAGAGACCAGAGAGAGACCAGTGAGAGAGACCAGAGAGAGAGACCAGGGAGAGACCAGAGAGAGAGAGAGACCAGAGAGAGGCCAGAGAGAGGCCAGAGAGAGGCCAGAGAGAGACCAGAGAGAGAGACCAGAGAGAGACCAGAGAGAGAGACCAGAGAGAGACAAGAGAAGAGAGACCAGAGAGAGACCAGAGACTAGGGAGAGACCAGAGAGAGGCCAGAGAGAGACCAGAGAGAGAGACCAGATGGAGACAAGAGAGAGAGACCAGAGAGAGAGACCAGAGAGAGACCAGAGAGAGAGACCAGAGAGACCAGAGAGAGACCAGAGAGAGAGACCAGAGAGAGAGACCAGAGAGAGACCAGAGAAAGACAGAGAGAGAGACCATAAAAAGACCAGAGAAACACAGATATACCAGAGAGAGAGACCAGAGAGAGACCAAGTGAGAGACAGAGACCAGAGAGACCAGAGAGAAGACCAGAGAGAAAGACCCGAGAGAGACCAGAGAGAGAGACCCGAGAGAGAGACCAGAAAAAGACCAGAGAGAGACCAGATAGACCAGAGAGAGAGACCAGAGAGAGACCAGAGGGGAGACCAGAAAGAGACAAAAGAGAGACCAGAGAGAGACCAGAGAGAGACAAAAGAGAGACCAGAGAGAGACCAGAGCGAGAGACCAGAGAGAGACCAGAGAGAGACCAGAGAGAAAGACCAGAGAGAGAGACCAGGAGAGACCAGAGAGAGGCCAGAGAGAAAGACCAGAGAGAGAGACCAGAGAGAGACCAAAGTGAGAGACCAGAGAGAGACCAAAGTGAGAGACCAGGGGGAGACCAGAGAGAGACAAAAGAGAGACCAGAGAGAGACCAGAGAGAGAGACCAGAGAGAAACCAAGGAGAGACCAGAGAGAGACCAGGGAGAGACCAGAGAAAGATAACAGAGAGAGACCAGAGAGGGATGCCAGAGAGAGAGACCAGAGAGAAACCAGGGAGAGACCAGAGAGAGAGAGTGATGTTATACTAGCGATTATATGATGTTTTATTTGATGTAGTTGAAGTATACACTCGCCGCATGAAAAGTATGACGTAAAGAAACACACTCAAAAAAACAACAGCAAAACAGCGAGACCACGAACGGTGAACTGCGACACAGCGAGGGACCTCTGTGTATAGATGGACAAAGCTAAACCGCTACAAGGACTAGAAACTTTAAGGATGGGAACCTCTGGGTGGCTTGAGTTCTACCAGTGCCTTATGGTGTTTTACCAACACTGAGCACTGAGCAGCCCTGGCCCACTCCATCGCAGACCCAAAGACACAACCAAGCGTTGTTATGTCAGAACATAAACACTGTGTCTACATATCTGCAGCTGAGTACACATCATGTATGTGGCATGTCAAACGTTACATTTCACAGCACTAGTTTTTAGTGGGAGTCATTTCCTCTGCACCAGGTGGACCTTATCACCCCATACACAGACACACACTCACACACACACAGACACACACTCACACACACACACACACACAGACTCCCACTGCCTTTTATCAGACTGGACCCTCCCTCTCGCCCTCTCATGAGGCTGTCTGACGGTGACAAGTGCATGTATGAACTCAGGAAATAAGAACACACACACACACACACACAATAGAGGAGAGGACACAACGTTATTATTCTCCCTCAAAGACTAACAGGGCGAATCTGAGAAGAAATATTACACATTATCCCTTGGCCCTCTGCTACCACCAGAGAGAGGCGTTGAAATTGCTTTGTATTTTTCAAAGATTTTAAAATTACTGGCTGCAAACAGAGACATAACAAATGTCTTTTCAGATGAGAATTTACTGAAAACCATTTAGCGGCAATACTTTTGTTTTAAATGTTTTAATTGTTGTAAACAATGAGTGTGATGTCATTGTGGATCAATGACAATCAAAAAAAGTCAATTGGATCCAGGCCGTGTTTAATGAATGGAAAAATCATACCTCATATCTCAACAAACTGTAATCTGAATGAACACATCTAAAGCCCTAGCCTTTGACACGCTTTAGTGAAGGCAAGGGCCGTTCATTGCTGCTTGCGGCTTTATATATTATTATTTAATTGTTTTTGAGTTAAACTTTGCTGAGACTGTAATACATTGTGAGAAATTCACCAAAAACATGTATTTAACAAAACAAAATAACATTTGCCAGATGTGGCAGGGGTCGTGTTTGACCCAGAAGTTATGGATCAATGTAAAATTATTCAAAGGTTTGTCTCGATGAAGGAACGATGATTTTAAAAGGAGAAATTGTTTAAACCAATAAAATCTGTCCCATTAGAGTCGCCCACACGATGAAGTGGTCGTTTCTTTCAGAAGCAAAAGAACAAAAACATTTGACGCAGAGTGAATTCTTTGCAGGAAACACTGGGAGCGAGAGCAGCTCCTGGTCACATAATGAGAACTGCCCGACATTTCCTCTGGACATCCTGCTCTCGCTCATGTGTTTAGAGTTAGAGGAAAACGGGGAAAGTGCATGTAAATAGCTATTACTAGGAATTTTATTAACTTTTAACACTTTCATGTTTCTTTTTGATATTTGATGTACTTCTGATGCTTTTCTTTGTTTTGTTTGTTTGTGGTTTTGTATTTTAATCTGTAGCACTTTGAGGTTTTCTGGAAATGTAAGGTGCAATATAAATAAAATGTATGATTATTTATACTTTAGATGGATAGATATTCATTTGTCACATACCATGTTGTGAGATTTCATAACACTTTTAAGCAACTTTTGTTAAAGTTAAACTCATCATTCTATCAATGTGCAGAAGCCAGTACTTTTCCCTTGTTTTGTCTATCTGAAGGCCAAGCTACAAGCACAACGTGGAAGCTGCTGATTGGAGGTCTCCATGCCTCCGCTCTGTATAATACACTTGTTGTATCTGTGTTCGTGTTGTTCGTGCTGTCTCTACCATCGACAATAAAACATGTCTTCTGTCTGAATTAAAGACGCGATCCCAGACTTAGTGATCTTCTTAAGGATGATGTGACTGTCTCTGTGTGACAAGTACGTCTTTCGATGTGTGACGTGACAATGACTATATAAACTGTGTACTGCCTTTATTCTGTCTGAGAGAAGGAAACAATGGAAACCACTGGAACTGGAGAGAAACTTAAATAAACTTCCAGAGTTTGGCGCACCACGATCCGTCTCTGTCTGCTTCATTCTTGACAATGTTTACAACACGGTCAATAACATGTAGTGAAATTATTCTACTTGAATTCACTACCTGAATATGGGATTTTTTTTTTACACTTTTGACCAAAACAAACAGTGCTGCCCCTGGAGAACGTCTTCATAAAGTTGTTACACACTTCTAATTTAACATGATATTTAACAAGCTTTGGCTCCTTCCTACTCCTTTTGCACATGAATAAGTGTTAAGTCTTGTTGTTGACATTTCTTTGTTTTTGTTCTTGTCTTGTATTTATTGTCGTTTGGTTTTTTTGTTCTTATTCTGTTGTTTTAATCCATGTTCAAATAAACTTTCATTCCTTCAACGTTTCCTAGCATTTGTGCTAAAACCTGGCACTTGACTTCTTGATCAAATAAATTCAATTCAATTCAATTCTGCAGTCATTCTAGAGAGAGTCATAAAACCTCTTTTCAGCATGTTTAAAGGCACACCGCGGACTTTGTGACCTAAAGAGTTGACACATATGAGTTATTTTATATGAATACTTGGGCCAATATACAGCGCTTGACACTTGCAATGCTCCGAGCGGGGCTGCCCTCTTGAAATACCGCCCATGTAACTTTCGAGCAGACGGACCGTCTGCCACCAGGTCACGTGACTTGGAAGAAACACTTGCTTTACGGCTACAGGCGCTGATATACTCATGGAGCTAAGGCTTTTGCTACTCATTTTTCACCTGCTCGACTCCTGGTCATGGCTGAGGCAAGGAAAAATTTTAAACCTTCGGAGGAGGCTAAAAAGAGGAAACGCGAAAGGGATCGTGCTGTAAGCTGCATGTCTGTATGAGCGCTGCTCTTCACCTGGTTCCTGGATGTCATCGACTGCAAAGATGTCATTCCACGCAGCACGAGCTAGACGCAGAACTCCCTCATCCAGGATATAGAAGTCCATGTGTGGTAGATTACTAATGCAGCGGTCTGGAGGCTGACCACAGCAGAGTCTCTCAATATCTGTAGGCATGTCTCTACAGTTTGAACACACACACCAGTGCATGCTGTCTGAATACACACTCAAAAGACACCGGCTGACTGTTTGTTGACTTTTGCGACAGTGCTGAGTTGCTTGTGGCCACTAGGGGCGCTAAACGTGAAAGTTGCAGGTCTAGCGCCCCTAGTGGCCAAGAGTTACACGGTGTGCCTTTAAGTCGACAGAAGGATAAAAAATGATTAATTGATTGAATTAGACCCAACACTCACCGCATACTTGAAGGACAGGTTGTATTCTCTGTCGTTGGCTCTCAGTCTCCTCTCCAGCTCTGCAGATCAACACGGGTCAGGAATGAAATACACAATCAATCAACGCACTCCTCTTTCATTTCTACCAACACAGAAACCTACACAGACATGGGGAGAACATGCAAACTCCACTCGGAAAGGCCTGGGTTCAATTCTTGAGGTGGAATTGTAAGTTTGTTCCTTTGCTCCTTTTTACATTCAGTTGAGTTTAGTTTTTGGATAATCGTTTATTAAATTATTATTTTAGCAGTTTTGTATTGCGGGTCCTTCCACCTTTTTGAAACATGACAGAAAGTTAGGTACCCGAGCTTTAAGCAGTGCTGTTAAATGACTTTTATCAAATCACTATCATTATATCTGATATTGTCGTGTTTTGCTGGTGTATTTACTGTGGCCTGGGGTTCCTCTGACCGTCTTCCAAATATGGAGACCAAAAAAATCACTTGTTGATTGCTGTAAATCTGAGGTCATGTCATTGTGTCCTGCAGATTCATTCATGTTGGTGGTGATAAACATCTGGGCTGTGTCTCCCGAAACTTCCGCAAAAGGAAATGAAGATGAAAGAAACTATAGTTGATTTTTGAGAGAAAATAAAATGTGACAATGAGTGATGGTGACGGTCCAACTATCGATCGTCTCATGACATCTGACTGTTATCTATGTGTCATTCTTTATAGACTGTAAATATGAACGGACAGAGTGACGCCTATTTCCTTTGTTGAAATCGATGGGCAGCCCCTCCTGCAGGAAAATGTGAAAAAACATTTTTTTTAGCCGGGACAAGCCCCAGTCATTTAACGAGTGCCTTCAAAAATCCACAGAGGCTAAATCAGGCTGCTCCAAAAAAATATATATAACTCCCCTCAGCATTGACAGTATCTAGAAGAGCCATAACCTGAATTTTGGACTATCCTGTAAAACCATTTTCGAGAGAATGAAATAATCATTAGAATTCAATGGATATTTCTGTTTCCGGGTACACCCCCACCGGCAAGCAGCCAGAATACACAGGCATGTCAGCGCACAAGCTCGTTTGGCCCATTTTGAGCCAGGACTCGCTACCACTGGGATTTCCGACGCGTGATAATTTAACAACAAAACAACAACATTTACCTCTTTCTTTCTTGGTAAAACAGTCCAGTCCAAAGAACGTCATCTTCACTCCTCGTTCTGCTATCTGTCCATCATACGGAGAACCTAAAAAGAAAAAATGACATCAATAGCTGCAATAATAATGGAATTCCACATGGACTCGTTTCAGACCTTTTACTGGATACAAGGTAATTTGGCTTGTATTGAGAAATGACATTTTCCAACACAGATTGGATTAGGAATGGGCCAACAACATCCAGAATCTATTACAGCCAATAACTGACAAAAATATTGCTTTATTGCTTCTTCTCTTCACTTTTTGATAAAACCAGGCCCATGACATTGCAGAGGTTTTTCTGTTTAAAAGACAAATGTTTATTGTGCATTGTCTCTGATCAAATAAATAAATTCAATTCACAAGACACAGTTACATTGAGAAAGAGCGACTTTACAAAAAAAATGTAAATGTATTAAATGATCAATAAAGTTTTCTCTTGACTGAGCTCAGTCTGGGGAACCGAGACTGACAGGTTCATGAGGCCTAAGTCAATCTGAAGGGTGCCAGATTGTGGGAGGCTTTATTAACAAGAAAAAGGATTTCCATAGAAATTCTCCAGAAAATGTCTCCGACTACGGCTGAACCTAACTTTACCTTCCTAAAAATGCATAATGTTTGTCCGACAGAAGGACTCTTAAAAAGGTCATTTAAAAGTAATTAGACCATATCACATTTTAATTTTATAAGTAAACAGGACCGATGAATCTCTGATCTGTTGTTGGAGAATCGACAAATTTGTAAAGTCCTCCAAGACGACTGATTTTGTGATTTGGGGCTTTACCAAAATACTGTAGATTGAATTGAATTGATTGGTTAAATGTGGGTGGTCCTCGCTATTTTCACTTTTCTGTCTGAAAAAGGCTGATCGAAAGGCTCATTTCCGTTCACTCACACAGAACAGGGAAAAAAGGCTTCTGTGTATGCGGCTCCTTTTAAATGGAACGTGTTGCAAAAAGACTGGGAATTAACTGAATGTATTTCATTGAATGCTTTAAAGTCCAGATTGAAAACTTGGAACGTATTCTTAACTGTTTATATAATCTGTAATTATGTGTAACTTTTGCTGTGTCTTGCCCAGGACTCCCATAAAAAAAGGTTCATAATCTCAGTGGGACTTTCCTGGTTAAATAAAGGTTGGGAAAATGACAGCAGAATTATATAAGTTATATTATTATTATTTTAATAAAAACTTAATAGATTGTCTTTAAGCTAGCTGTGTTGCCATGATACAGGATGATAATATGTTTAGTCTGTAATGTTTGCATTGTTAATGGATGTCCTTCTGTCACAAGTTTGTGGTGAAGGAAAGTGTAATTTGCTATGTGCAATTTCTGAGTTGTCAGCGTGTGATTAGACTGGAAACCTTTTTAGGCGAAAATGTTTGAACAATGTCAACAAACTAATGGTTTAGGCCATATGGAATCTTTCATGTGCACATAATGTGAATGTGTTTTGGTCTGTTCACCTTTGAGACATGAGCAGTAGTCTCGCAATGGCGGGGCAAGAAGCTTCGCCCTGCTGATGTGAAACTTGCTCAAGTAAAAATCTAACCTCTGTCTGATTTGGTTTTGTCCAGGTACTGTAGTTTGAACCAGTTTTAACAAAAAAAAGGCGTGACAGACGCTGAAATATGCATGGGAAAACTAGTGATGTAAGCAAACATAGACGTTTCGAGAGCTATAGGAACTAGATATAGCTTGAAAGTTAAATATTCCAGCTTTAAATAACGCCAACAGTTTCTGCTTACAGGTCAGCGTATGGGAATCCTGCTGAGCATAGAGCTACTCGGAATGTAATTAAGAGAGAGCGAGGGCCACTGTTGACAAGCCTGTGCATTTAAACCTCTGCCGTAAAGGTGTCCCGTTACTCCTGCATTTCTCCACAATTGCATCATTCTTCTTTCCCTTTTAAACATTTTCCAGTCTGAGCTCCGTGACCCTAGTGGGTGGCACCTTCGAGAACGCTGCAGTCACTTCCACCATAGGCAGAAGAAGGACAAAATGTTTCGGAGGAGTCTTTTCTTGAAGACTCCCCCAAAACAGGAAATGGCTTGAGTGCAGACCCCGCCCCTGTTCGTTGGCCTACAAGTGACGTCAAAGCTAAAAATATCTTCCACATGTTTCTAATCGACAATGTCTTTAACAGGAGAGGACGAGGTTTGTGGAGTATGTGTGGATTTCAAATGTACTATTGTAGGGTGACTACTTATATTAGCTGATTATAATTACTTATTAGTATGAATTTGGTAGTGTGGAGCGGCTAGTCTCCGGAGCGGAAGCTCGCCGTTCCACCAACAGGTCTATGTTATTTATTTTGGGCACCAGCAGAGTTAGAAATCTGCACATAGACACCAACCAAATCTTTGCCTCGATATCAATCTATAATCTAAGGGTGTAGAATACGTTTTATCGGCCAGTGATATTCCGAGATCTAACAACGCGACTCTGAAGGGGTTGAGTTAAAGAAAAGTATTTTATTGATTACAAAAATGAGGGTAAAAATATAACGAAAAGGGATTTCTGGTCACATTAAAAGCAGGAGTTGTACACATATCATTCAAATCATACATTTAACAGAGGAACAGTCTTACTTTGAAGGAGCGTAGAGGATGGAGAAAGGATTTGGGTTGGGGATCAGTCCACGTGGTTCCTTTGTCTGGGCAGGCGGGAGGTACAAAACCAGCGAGTTGGTCCAGCTGCTGGTCCACGCGTATGCAGCTCAGTCCGGAATGGGCTGCACGCGTATAGTCCAGAGCCAAGGAAAGAGGCTGGTGATGAAATGGTTCGTAAGGTCCCGAGCCAGAGGAGAGTATGTTTGGCGGAGTAGAAGGCCCGATGCGTGCTGGCGCGACCGTAGTAGGAGACACGTGCCGCGGGACGCCGATGGCCAGGGAGGTTGCGATAGTGATTTCAGGAGAAGGCAAGAGAAAGAACAATGCTTTGCGGGTGCTTATATTGACTTCTGAAGGGGCGTGTCCATGTCTTCCCTCTCTGTGGACAAACTCCTTTACACAGACAGTTTGTGAAGAAACATACAGGATTGATGCAAATGATCATAAGACATGTACAAACACACAGTGTATTTACATCACAGACATTAAACACACGAGTAAGGTCCGTAACGTTAATATCATTGAGTAATGTCCCCTTTGAATGTTCGTCTTGGGTGCGGTAGCGTCCAGTGTCCGCTAGGGAGCGTCAGAGGGCCGCGGGTGGACCCCTTGGTCCGTGGAATGCATTGTGACAATGCTGATTTGTATCAGCTCCTCTGTTAACATGAAAAAGGGCACCAGATGGGTATCCCGCTGTTTTTATGGGTCCGATTGGCGTCGGTAATCCTCATGATTGATGGCGGCTTGTGGCTGACCCCATGGCTCCTTTGAAGCTGTATCTCTCCATTTGGTCAATGGTAAACAGAGTGGACAGGCTTGGTCCTGCCCTCAGTTTAACCTTACATACCCCCCCCACGGCAGAGATGCACCTTCCGACAAGGTGCATGTCATGTCGGATATGCTGTGGGGTTGTCTTCAGTCGGTCTTCTCGCCTGTTCGGGTGTTAGTGTACAATTTGTAGTGACATGTTACAACATTCCCGTCTCAATGTGACTCAGTAGCTCGCAAGCGCCTAACTGGGGCAGGCTCGTAGCGGTTGGGTCTCGGGCCTCTGGCTTGGTTTGTCGAGGCCGGGTTTTCTCTAAGGCGAGTCCTGGCCCTGCAGGCTAGTTCTAACCGGAATCAGGGGTTTTAGGGAGTGAGCTCCGGCCGTGAACTCTAAGGTTTGGGCCGGTGCGCCTGACTCCTGGGTCTCTTGGTCTGGAAGACTCAAAGTTCCAAGCCAAGAGAGTAGCAGGAGTTTCTACTTTAGGGGACTAGGATACAAAATAGGAAACTTCAAAAATCAAAAAAAAGTGGCTGCCTTGGCAGCGGGTAGGAGCGTCGTTAAGGCACTCGATGGTGAGGGGTTCCCATCTTGCTCGTTCTAAAAGGGGAGTGTGAGGGTTACACGAATATATGACGTAGCAAGTGGGGCTTTAATTACGAGGGACATTTCCTGCATATAAATGGGGGTGACAGGCATGATTGTCTAGGAGACTGATTAGGTATCGAGGTAGGTTGGTTGGGTCTGAGCTGGTGACTCTTAGTGGTGTTTTAGGCCCTTGGTTCACCTTCCGTGATAGAAAGGGTGACCGCCTCGAGTGGGTGACTTTGGAGGTCCTCGTACTCTGACTCATTGACCTGGGGACGCCGACTCAAATTGCCACGCTCGACGGCGCTGTCGCCCCGGTTTGGTCGTCTACGGATCTGTCTCGTCATTGCCTCCGTGCACCTGTTAAAGCTATCGCGGAGTCGTCTAACCCGTCTATTTAGGACGAAGGCCATGACTACGACCAGGCCGTACCCGAGTCCTACCGCGGTGGCCATGACTGTATCGGGGGCGGCCCAGGAGTAGGCTACTGGTTGGTGGTGGATGGTCGGTCGCTTGGCAATCTCTTGAAGGAGATTGTCTACGACCGTAACGTCAACGGTTTGTGCCCCCTCGTAGGTGGCTTGGACTAGGGTAGAGGGTTGAAGTTCCAAGGCCCTTTCCTCAAAGAACTCTGGTATCTCGACCTCTGCCTCGTACTGGTTCGGATACAGGTGGTATAATGCCAGGTCGCCTACGTGCAGGATAGCGTCGGCTGGGACGTCGACCCAAAAGGTTTCGTCCGGGAGGCTTACTCGGGACGAGGTGTCGTGTTTGTCATAGGTCAGGGTCGCCGTTGTAAGGGGAGTGTTCACTAGCCAGCGTGCCCCTACAATCTCTGCTCTAGTTTCGGTTATTTGTTTCCGAGAGGTGACCGTCGCGGGGCATCGACTCCCTGGAGTCATGGGCCTCAGGCCGCAGATGCCATCGGTGCTGTCCCTGACGAAAGGTTTGCTGGGGCAGAGGTAATGGATGTCCTTGGTGAGGGTACACATCCTTAGGTTTGGCGTTAGGTATAAATTGGGGTTACTGTCGTGGTAGGCT